CTTCCTTCTTTCTTTCTTTCTTTCTTTCTTTCTTTCTTTCTTTCTTTCTTTCTTTCTTTCTTTCTTTCTTTCTTTCTTTCTTTCTTTCTTGGTGGAAACTGTATAGTAATGGGAAAAAATAATTTTTTTTTCTTGGTTTCTTTCTGTCAGATCACAAATTCAGGAGAATTTGTGTTCCCATTAGATTCCCCACATAAAAAGCCTTATGAATGTCTTGTACTAGGGAGAGTTCGAGAAAAAACTGCTTTACTGTTAAGGTAAGAAAAGTGATTTTTCCAAAATTATATGAATATGCTAACTTTTAGACTTTTAAAAATAATACAGTGATCATTGATTTTTTTCAATTTTTACATTTTTTGAGAATCTGAAAATGTCCCAGAGGTATAAGTTGTTTGACACATGAGATTTTATTACCTTTTGTTTACCAAATGTATAATTGTTATTCTGGAAAATGAATTTTAAGAAATGTCTGAAATTTTAAATTATTGATTTCCTTCATTGAGTATATCCTTAAGTTTATTTTTTTAATAGAATCAGGTGCTATTTGAAAGGGGAAAAATCGTATATATATAATCGTAATATATAATCGTAATTATATAATTAAAAAACTATCCTTCAAACAGTGATTTATTATCATGTTTTGTTTTGATTAGGACCGCAGGTGTAAAAGTGCTCCCCATTCCAGATCACAGATTAGTTGTCAGCGTGCCCTGTGTCCTTCACTCACATAAGCCTCCACTTGCTGGTATGTTTCTATAAAACAGTTGTTTTGCTTTTTGAAAAAAATTGAAAGGATTGAATCTAGTATTTGAAGGGTCTGTCGGTCTTTAAATTAGATATGTGCTGTTTTACTACTCTAAAATAGTGGAGTGGAATTCATAGCAGAGCTAGAGCACAGATGAGTTTTCTGCACAGAGCTTTTCTTGTGCCATTTCTCAGGTTCTCCTTAGTGTCTGTTTCTCCTTCAGTGGTGGCCATGACACACAAGGCTGATAGGCGTCAGAGGATGAAGTTCAGCAAAGGGTTCTATTTTACCCCCAGGTTTTAGGACTCCAAGACCAGGAACCCAGAATAGCTGTGGGAAGAGTGATGTTTAGAATTCCCTTGATGTATGGTAGACATTCTCGGTTTTGTGTTTTCTGAAGGCAGTGTTGCTTTTCTGAAGCATTGGGAAGGTTCCTGCTCTCTTAGTGCTTCCGTGTCAGGTTCATCATCAGAGAAACCAAGCAGCTGGGACTGGTGGGAAGTGTTGGCCTTGGAGAAGGACTAACACATGTTTGAATCCTGGTTCTGCTGCTTGGGCAAGTCACTTGAATCTTTTTTTAACCTTGCTGTCCTCATTTAAAAAGAGAACAATGATATCTTGTACCTCCAAGTGGTAAGGATTGGTTATAGTATATTTTAAATTCTGTAGCATGTCATACAAGTTCAATAAATGCTAATTTTTTTCAAGTGAGAATTTAACTTAGTCATGGAAGTCCTTGAGAGTCTGAATTTGATATTCAAGGTTTATTTTTGAGAGAACTTCTTCAGGAAAATATTTTATTGATTTGATGGTTACTACTTAAAAATGAAGATACGATGCTGGGCGTGGTGGTGCATGCCTTTAATCCCAGCACTTGGGAGGCAGAGGCAAGTGAATTTCTGTGAGTTTGAGGCCAGCCTGGTCTCCATAGCGAATCCAGGCTAGCTAGAGCTACAGGGAGACCCTGTCTCAAAGAGATCAAAAAAAAAAAAGAAAAAAAAAATGAAGATATGACCAAACCCAAACAAAACACAACTTCTGTAAGCTGCCACACAAAAAAACTATGGAGAGCTTGCCATCTTATTTTTGTAGAATATGGGATAGTTCATGAGCTACGAAAAGGAAATAAGGAAATGAACTCAGGGGAGCTGGCTCAGTGGGTAAGAGTGCTTGGTCTGAAAGTTTGAGGACCTGAGTTCAAGTCCCCAACACTCATGTAAAAAGCCAGGTATGGCTGCATGAGTTTGTAACCCTAGTGTTGGGGACAGAGACAGGTGCATTGTGGAGACGTCACTGGAGTCAGGTTAGCCAGAATGGTCAGCTTCCAGGTCAGTGAGAGACCCGCCCCTCAAGGGGATATGACAGAGACTGATGAAAGCAGACAGCTGCTCTGCCCCCTCCCCCCTGCGTGACCATCCATGCACCCACACGCTGTGCGGGCATTACAGACACATAACACAGACACCACCAAAAAAATCAAAATACTCAGGATTTCTGTTTTCTTAAATCATTTTGCAAAGGAATCCTTATGATATTCTTTAATTTGAGAAATATTTAGATGTCTTTGTCTATTCTTTGGCTTAGAGGGATTCTCAGTGAATCCCTTACACTACATAAACAAACTCCAGTGCATTATGACTTGGACGAAAAGCGAATTATACTGTTTTCTGAGAAACAAATTATATTTGACATCACTTATACTTTGAAGAAATTTAATATGTATTCTTACTTGAACTTTGTTTATCATTGGGTAAGTACAAAAGCTTAGTTTATAAGCATTTATTTTAGGGTTTATACTTAAAACCCCAAAACTGGGGCTGGAAAGGTGGCTCAGCAGTTAAAAGCGGTGATTGCTCTTGCAGAAGACCTGGGTTCAAATCCCAGCACTCTCATGGCAGCTAACAACCATCTGTAGCTCCAGTTCCAGGGAATCTGATGCCCTCTTCTGTCCTCCATGGGCTCTGCATGACTAGAGTGCACTCAAATACAGCAGGCATAACAGTCATAGCCATAAAATAGAATAAAAAATTTAAAAAAGACTCCAAACTAACTCCAAATCTTTTATTCACAAATAATGGTTAAATTGGTTTTCATTTTATTAAAAATATAATTAAATTCTATTTAAAAATTAAGAGAAAAGATTTAAAGCTAGAATAAAAATTAGTCTTGCCCTGAAGTCTTGTCTGAAAAGTGCAGTCTGCCGTGTTACCAGTAGAGGGCAGCACAGACACATTTTAAGATTGAAAACATTTAAAACAAAAATTGTGCTTTGGAGGAACATCTGAACGACTCAACATTTGTTAATCTTTACGCTTTGGTTAAGTAGTGATATACGAGAAATATTTGTTACACTTTGCTTTTTCGTTCATGTTAATGTATGTATTTTAGGTATAGAGTGGTGCAAGTTATACCACTGTAAAGCAGATTTCTTCCGGATTGTTGTGGCATATTCTGTACTAAAGTCATAACTCTAAGGATGTGTATGATACAAATTCTGTACATAGTGCATAGAAATTTTTCCTGTAAATGTTCTTAAGCTGTTTTATGTATGCTCAAGGAATGAAATATTCTCTCTTGCTTCTAGAAACATTTAAATAATAAAAGTTTAATTTTTTATTTCTTTTGTAAAATGTCAAAAAAACAAAAAGCAAATATATATTGGCCACATATTATATTTCAAAATGGTGCATTTATTAAGTTTCCTCCTACAGGTTGAAAGATAAACAATTGATAGTGACTTACAACCTAACATTATAAATAGTTAATTTGGGGGGGAGGTGCTGGGGATTGAAACCAATGTATGGCACTTGGTGTACAGGCTGTCAACTACTGAGCTGTCTTCCTAGCCCTTATAAATGTATATTCTTAAATTTTAGGATTTGAGGCAAGGAAGTTATAACATAAAAATACTTAAACCAAAATTTTGGCTTTCATATTTTACCTTAGAAAAATGTCCATTTCTTTTTGTTACTTTGCTCTCTGTTTCTGAGGGGTGAAGCAGAGCTTGTTAAAGTAGGTTCACTGAAACCGGGCTGGGTGGTGCATGCCTTTAATCCCAGCACTTGGGAGGCAGAGGCAAGCTGATCTCTGTGAGTTTGAGGCCAGCCTGGTCTACATAGAGAGCTCCAGGCCACCTGGGGCTACAGGGAGACCCTGTCTCAAAAAGACCAAAAAGAAAAACAAAAAAGCTAAAGTGCATACATTGATTTGGGCCCCTCCTGTGTATGTCCTGTGCATGTGTCCAGAGCAGCAGGCCTGCGTGGCCATGAATATCCTTCCTCATATAACATACATTACATAGTTGTCTAAGTATATGTGTGCCAAACTCATGCTCAAATTTTTGTATTTGCACTTCAAAAATTTTACTTGTTTTTTTATTGAGGTAGGGTTTTACTGTGTAGGCCAGAATGACTTCAAGTTCAGGATCTTCCTGCTGTAGCCTCCATAGTGCTGGGATTGCAGATGTATCTCACCGTGCCCAAGCTGCGTTTATTTTCAAATCTATATTAAAATTAATAAGAATATTACATTTCCATTAATTTGCCTTTAAATTGTTTTGGCCTTATTTTGCAATAAAACAGATGTAGTTAACATCTGATTTTCCTTTTTGCAATTAGAAAGGAAAATGTATAAAAATTTATAACACTGAGAAAGTAGGATGGTAGTAAGTTAATTAATGGGCATCCAGATCTTTGGCCTTGCAAATGCTAGGCAAGCACCCTAGTTTGGGATTATAATCCCAGCTTGATAAGGTTAGGTTGGTTGTGGTTTTCCATTCTTAAGTTCCTGGCCATGGGTTTCCATTGGACTGTGGACTGCTATAAAACATGGGTGTTCTGTTTCTGTGGCCCTGATTTTCATGGTGCTCAGAGTAAACGTTCTTTTTTTTTTCTTTTTTTTTTTTTGGTCTCTTTGTAGCCCTAGCTGGCCTGGAACTCACTATTTAGACTAGGCTGGCCTTGAACTCACAGAGATCCGCCTGCCTCTGCCTCCCAAGTGCTGGGATCAAAGGCATGCAGCCACCACACCGGCCTTAGGATAGTAAACATTCTTGATTGGCTGATTCTATTTTACATTTCCAAATCAGAGATGCTAGCACCTCTGTGCCAAAGACTGAGCAGCCTAAGCAAAAACAAAGTCTTGTGTTGTTGAATCTTAGGTCACATTGGCAGTGAAATCAGACTGATAAGGTACTGAATTCATAGAAGAAAATGGAAAGGTGGTTTAAGGCTTTTGTCTGTGGGGAAATTTTTCTCCTTCAAGTTTTCTGGTGTTTAATTACATAGAAGTGTTTATGTCATCTCTTCTAGAAAGTTATCAAAGTTCAAATTTGAGTTAGTTGAATTGTAGACAATAAAACCTTTTAATTCCTATCTGATTTTTTTTTTTTTTTTTAAGATAAGGGTCTCTTTGTAGCCCCAGCTGGTCTGGAACTCACTAACTTACAATCTAAACCAGGCTGGCCTCCATCTCTCAGAGATCTGCCTGCCTCTGCCTTCTGAGTGCTGGGGTTAAAGGTGAGCGCCACCACACCTGGTCTCCTCTTTGATTTTTCATAAGTACGACATTACTTTTGGACAAAGAACATTCTGAAACCCAAAATATTTGCTGTATTGTCTTTTAAACTTTATAATTATTATTTAGACCTTCTAATTATTCCTGAAGAAACCATGGGACTGAGGGTGTAGCTCAGTGGTAGGGTACTTGCCTCACATTTACAAAGCCTTGGGTTTGATCCCCAGTTCCAAAAGGGAAGGAGAAAGAAAGGAGGGAGGGAGGAGGGAAGAAGAGAAGGAAAAATCTAGAAGAAGCCTCATCATTTTTTAGAGGGAAATTATTTCTTTTAAGGCCAACCTAATTATGAACTGTATTTTGCCTGATGAAGTACTTTCTACTCTGAATTATTATGATTATGATTATGATTATGATTATTATTATGCTTAATTTCTGTTATGTGGTTAGTAAAGCAACCAGCAGCATGATCAAGGTTAGGGGAATCCGAAGCCCTCTTCTGACCTCCGTGGCATTGCACGACACGGGTACACTCACTTACATGCAGGCAATACACTCATACACATAAAAGAAAAAAAATGATTTAAATATTTGTCCTCTAAGTGAGCGTATGCTTTACAAAAGCTTCTGTATCTTCCTTTCTTTCAGGCAGTGCAGACCCCAGTTATTTAACCAACAGTTAACTACCTTTTCCCTGACAAAGTGCAATTTTCAGCACAGTAGTTAATATATTAAATAAGGACTGCTTAGCTGTGCAAATAGTGTGGTGAGATTTGAGGCAAAGAAGAACTCTAGTCTGAAAGTGAGAGGATAGTCTTAGTACCGGGACGTTACAGCTCTGGAGCTGGAGCACCAGTAGGAATTTTTCTGTAGCTGACCCTTTCCTTACAGTTTCTTCCCTACAGTGTGTGCTACAGCCACATTTGTTTTATCTTCATTTTAAAAATAGATCATCTTCAGAGTGTTTCTAAAGGTTATTTTAAATGCATGGATTACATTTATTAAAAAAATAAATTAATTCTTGGCCGGGTGTCGTGGTGCACACCTTTAATCCCAGCACTCAGGAGGCAGAGGCAGGCGGATCTCTGTGAGTTCAAGGCCAGCCTGGTCTCCATAGTGAATCCAGGACAGCTGGGGCTACAGGGACTTCCTGTCTCAAAAAGACCAAAAAAAAAAAAAAAAAAAAGAATTCTCAGGAGAAGTGTCAGCAGTATTGGAAAATTGGAAAGTCACCTACGTGGGTGTTAAAAAAAACCCATATTTCTCATCTGCAAATGGAGACCAGTAAATCAGGCCTGGTCAGTTCTGATGGCGTTGTGCCATGCTCACAGGTACTTATTTCTGTGTTTCTATCCATGGCAAAGCCTGTGATGAAATGCTTGATACTAATTTGCTATTTTTTTGAAAATTGAAATAGCTTTCCTCTTCTACTCTTCCCTGCTAAAAGGAAATTGATTTTTTTTAACATTAATTTTTGTGTTTTTGTTTTCTCTTTTTTTTTGGACAGAAGTTCTAAAAGACTACATCAAGCCAGGTGGGAAATGTTTGGAATTGTTTGCTAGAAGTTTACAGCCAGGTTGGACGAGCTGGGGTAACGAAGTCCTCAAGTTTCAGCACGTGGATTATTTTAGTGCTTTGACGTCTGGACACTGACTATAAGAACAGTGGTTTCTTCACTCTGGATCCCTTTATTTCAGCTCATTTTTCCTTTTACCACCAGTCAGTATGCTTAGAAATGGCTTTTAAGTAAAGACTATCTGTTGTGCAATTTTGAGATGAATTTTACTTCAGTTGCACTAATATCCCACATTATTATAAATTCTCTATAATTAAACAGCTAAGCAGTTTGCACAGAGGTCAGATGATGCTACTGAGTGAATTCAGAAAGCATGCACTGTGGACCCTAGGTATTAACTTGGCAAATAGGGCATTGTTAAAAAAAAAAAAATCAAGAAATTCCCCCTAAATGTAGTTCTTTACCTTTCTTTAAACATCAGAAGCTCGGGTTCCACCGAAGCCCCAGTTCTTTGTTGGCACAACTCGCAGGACCTGGTGGCTCACCTGGGAGGGGCACTGGCTCGACACTTTGCCATGGAACAGCTCCCTCTGTGCTGATTGTTTGTGTTGTCTACTTGGGCCTCTGTGGCCTGATTTTGCAGCCCCAGGTATAGTGTCAGTTCTGGAAAAAGATCTGAGGTCTGCCAGCTACCACACCAGTGTGTGTATGGAGTGCACAACAGTTTGGGAGAGTTTTAATTGCATTCGGGGTTACTTTCAAACACTTCTCTGTTTTGCGTATTTCTAGAAGATGATGAAAGATATTTCTTAAAAGTTGTCAAAAAGTAAACACTATTTAAAATTTGTGAAAAAAGTATTTAAATTATAGATTTTGTACAAATTTTTTTATTTTACACAGTTTTCTTTTGTTTTGCAGTGCTGAGGCTTGAGCTCAGTGCCTCACTCATGGCAGGCAAATGCTCTACCACTGAGCTGTATCTCCAGACTAAATGTTTTGATTGAAAGGATTCTTTGAAAAGTATGTTGATTATATCATGGGTTACCTTCTTAAAAGCTTGTTTTTTTTTATATATATAATAAAATCATCCAGTTTTCAGCTTCAGTTCATTGAGTTTTGCAAACATACTCAGCTCACTACCACGGTAATGATGCCGAGCACCCTTCTATTCCAGAACCATATTCTGTGTAAACACTCAAAACTGAGCAAATGACTAAGGATCTCCGAAGTGGTTCATTGCATTCTGCAGCTCTGGAGTTTTGTTTGATTTTGGATTTAGTGGGTGCCTGGATTCTCAGTGGGTCCTAAGCCAACCACACAAAGAAAGCCTTCCTGCTAACTCAAGAAACTTTGAAGACACACTTCTTAACATCTTATCCTTGGCTCTCCTGACCTTTCTCTTGATTCTCACCTTTGGGGTCCAGTAAAACAGTTAACCATGTTTTGGGAAGTAGGTCTCTCTGTGTCTCTGTGTTTCTGTGTCTATGTCTGTCTCTCTCTTTGCGTATGCACATGTGGAGGCTGGAGGACAACCTTGGATTTTGTTTATCAGTTATCCTTCTTTTCTTGAGTCGGACAGGGTCTCTCACAGGCCTGGAACTTGCCAAGTAGGCTAGGCTGACTGGCCAGCAAGCTCCGGGGCTCTGCCTGTTCCTGCCTCCCCAGTGCTGGGATTACAAATGTATGCCATCATGCCCAGCATTTTTTATGTGAGTTTAGGAGGATGGGACTCAGGTCCTATGCCTTCAAGACAAGCCCTTTTACTGACAGTTATCTTCCCTTGCTGTTGTTTGTTGGTATTTTTTTGAAGCAGGGTCTCACTGTACTCTGGGTGTTTGTAACTTGTGGCAGTCCTGGCTTTGCTTCAAGGTGTTGATATTGTAAGTGTGTGTCACCATGCCCATCTTAGATCCTTTTTCTCACTCATTTTCCTGTCTTCATCCCTCCCCTTATTTGTGTCTTCTAATCAAATTTCACTTAGTTTTTAAAATTCTCTGATCATTGTAGTCAGCTGTATTTTGTATATAAAGCAGTCATTTCGGAGTATCACATTCAGCACTGTCTGAGGCCAACTTGACTAGGTTTGAATACCAATTGACGTTTGGCCTTGGGCAAGTTAGGCCTCGGTTTCCTCATCTGTAGCTATGAACAGTATTGTTACCTCATAGTGTAGTTACGAGGATTGAGTGACGCAAGGCACTAGAATGGTGCTTGTAAGAGTTTAAGCAGCTGATGCGGCAATCCCTTGTGTATTTCTCACCATCAACCTTAAAAGCTCTTTATTATAATTTGGACTGTAATTCAAGAACTTATGGGAAGTTGAATATTAGCTACATCCTTTGAGCATTACTGCATGATAGAATTTCTGTCTAATTTTTTTTGGTAATTTATTGCTATGGATCACATTTCTTCCCTTTTTTAAATATGGAACTCAGCCGGGCATGGTGGCACACACCTTTAATCCCAGCACTCGGGAGGCAGAGGCAGGCGGATCTCTGTGAGTTCAAGGCCAGCCTGGTCTCCATTAGCGAATCCAGGCCAGCTGCGGCTACAGGGAAACTTTGTCTCAAAAAGACCAACCCCCCCCCTCCAAAAATGGAACTCTTTAGTGTAGGAAGAAAGAACATCAATAGTCAACACATGGGAAAAAATATGGAAATGTTCCCAACAAATGTGGAACAGGTCCAGTCAGTATTATTTATTATACATGTTGAACATCCTCTGAGAACAATAGTCTCTCAGAGTGAGTTTGTTTGGTTTTAGGGTGGTTTTGTTGTTTCAAACAGGTTCTTCCAAGAACCTGCACACAGGAAAGACAAAATAGAGAAATCCTCAGTAAAGTGAAACACCCAACATCTGGAGAACGATGTTAAAAACCTCTCCAGACACAAGCCGCACCAAACACTCATCCCATCTAATTGCCTGTTACGTGCTGAGGAGATCAAGAACATTGGCCCAGACAGCAGTGCTTTGAGAGGCTAGCTCAGGTTCCCTCTTTGTGACAGATCATGCACACATATCCTCACATACCATTGACCCAGGCAGAAGTACACATGCATTTATAAGTGGACGAGAACTGTTGGGTGGGATGGGAGGCGGTGGTCAAGGCTGTGCCGTCATCTGTATACTGAGGATCCAGAGACCCCTTCTGTTGCACAACGAGCAAGAGTCAAAATGGAAACCAAAACAGAACACTGGAAAAAAGAGGATGCTCAGACAAGAGGTTGGCTAGATGAAGAGGGAAAGATGAGGGGGGATTTGGGGAAAGCAGCCTCAAAGAGGGAGGTCTTTCTTTATTGGGAACACAGATGAACAGAGGTCCCATCACTGGGATTCCAGTGATGTACTGAGGCTGAAGGAATATGCCACAGCATTACCTCTTCACCCTGTGCCCTCTCCCAACGTACAGGGAAATCACAAACACTCACCCTGTAGTCCTGCCCTTTAACAGTCCCCAAAGAAGAAATGACACCCCCCCCCACACACCAACAATACACAAAGTTAGGTCTGGCATAGGCCAAAGTTAGGCAAACTGAAAGCCTCAGTATCTCTTCTTGGTGGAACCAAAGCCAGAGAAGCCCATCACAGCTGCCATCTCATCCTAAATGTCAAGCTGTCTTCGGACCTCCTGTTTTTGTTTCTTGTATGCCTTAGCCTTTTCCTCTTCTTCTCTGAGCTCCTTCATCCTTTCCCCAGAATCGCAATCTTTCTGTTTCTCCTCCATCATCTTGTTGACTTCAAAACATTTGTTCACCTGATCCAGAAAGGAATGTTCCACATGCATAGACATACCCAGGTTTCACTTACATTTCTTTCCATTAATGTGATCCAGGAAATTGATGGAGTCCTTCACCACCCAGTAGCCAGCTTTACAGCGATATCCTCCCATTTCAGACCATGAGGCGGTCTTGGTAATGACATCTGTCTTCTCACGCTTGGACTCCAGATCTTCTGTAATCCCTGTGCTGTAGATGCTCGCGCTACAGTGCACTGGTTTTCCATCCTTCTCTCTTCTGTGAGCTTCTTCTCCAGCTTCTTGTATTTACCTTTGTTCCACTTTATCTCATTCAGGTGAGTGTTTCATAGAAGCACTTCTTTAAAATGTAGTTGAGTAGGTGAATATAACCTCAAGTTAAAAATGATAATGGTTTAATCAAAAGTTTAGCATCTCATTGGATTCTAACTGCTCTCAGGCTGTCAACTCGCCACTAAAATCTCTTTAAAAAGTGTCAACTGAAGATTAATGGTATGGTTTATCGAGAACAGTTTCAGTGATTGCATATGCAGTTAAACACTCCAGGCCACACAATGACCCTTTATTAGTAGCTAATGAGACTTATTAAAATCTCCGCTTCATTAGCAAATGATGTAACATAAAATACCTTCAGTGAGGAATCGGAACAGATTTCCAGTCTTGGTTACTAGCCACATCAGTTAGCCTGAAGACCTGTTCCCTTTTCATAGCTACACCTTCATAAACATGCCCTAAGGATAAAGTGAGATGACTGTAATCAAAGAACTGTGCAGGCAGTGCTCTGGGCTTCTCGGGGTGTGACAGAACAGTCATCCATGAACTGACAGGTGAAGTGAGATGGTAACATCTTCAAAGAAGGGGCGGGCCCTTGAAATTATTATAATCTTCATTTGAGCGATAGTGGTAGAAAAACCTCACCTACTGTGATCCTAAAAATTCTTTCTAGAATTTGGAGGGCAGCCTGTCTCAAAAAAAAAAGTTGTCTCTAGGGTAGTAAACTTGAAGAAGTAAGACTTGGGAGCCTAGGATTTTCTTTTTAAAAACATATATGACAGAATACCTGAAATCTGGTGAGTGGGCAATGAGGGGCTGGGAAGGGAGTCAGGGGTCTAAATTTGATTAAGATGTATTATATGAAATACACAAAAACTCAATAACATTAAAATGAAAATAAAAGAATGAGTTCAGGTAATTGAAAAGGGGAGCTTATATAACCTAAATACAGGTTTAAATGACTTCTGCCCTCTTATTATCAGTGTTTAGATGTATGGATCAACCGAAAACTCTACAGGGGGTTCTTAATTACAGCTCTATTGATCATTCTGCTCCAGCTTTGTAAGTCAGAACTACCATGAGCGCTAGAGCCGGCCTTTCCACCTTGAGTATTCTTAGAGCTAACCTAGAGTGTCTGAACTTGAGTGGAAGCTGGATTGTTTTTTAATAGCAGTCCAAATTCTTGAACCCATATAGTAACAAATGAATGTCTAGGAGTGGAGAACACAGGAACCCTGTTCATCTGCTCTTTCGGGTTAGTCATGGGTCTAATTATCCAGTAACTCATAGTGGGGCAACCTTGTAATGACAGCTCAGGTAAGTGAATGGTGTTTTGCTGTATGGAAATTGTTTTTAGCCAGTACCATCAAGGCAAAACACAGTATTCAGACCTGTAGCTGGTAAG